CAAATTTTTTTTTTTTAGTCAAATACAGAAAAAACGAAGAGGCGAATCCGAGAACCAACAAATTAAATTGGTGTGGCCTTATGTTGTGGGTTTGTAGCATTGTATCTTTGTAGTGGGATACAGGTTGTCACAGCTGTGTCTGCCCCCACCCCCACCCTAAAATGAACCAGTCCTGATTGTTACAGACAAATTTATGCACATGTCTTATGATATACAAATTGGGCAGATACCCAGACATGGTGAATATGTGGCCTGGGAGTTGTTAGTCCTGTTTACGAGTTTTATGGCCCATCATATCACAGATCATTCCACACAGGCCCTCTTTATCAGCCCCATCAAACTCCTTTTGAGCCGTACCCAGAATTTCATGTCGTACCCACTAAAAAATGCTGGCCGTACCCGGAAATTGATTTGATTTTAATTTGTTGGTTCTCAGATTTGCCTCTTCGTTTTTTTCTGATGTGCAAAAAAAAAGAAGAAGAAGAAGATTCTGGTTCTGAATCAACTAAAAAATGCTCAACCGTTGAGGAAAGTCCTTTTCTTCCTAGCTGTTACAGTTTTTCCATCTATCAATGCAGTGGTTTCATTGAAATATTAACCCAGCCTTTTGTGCTGAATTCATGGCTCTTATCGTTGCATTTGGGACTATAATAGGCTGCCTAGACCTGTTTTTTTTTTCGCCCTGTCGCTTCATATTTTTTCTAAAAACTCTGAGAACCAACAAATTAAATTGGTGTGGCCTACAATTATAGTAACTGGAAATAATTCTTCCTCACGGGCACCTTTTTCAGAAACACCTGGTTACTGCACGTGTTGAAGAATTTGAATTCTGTATTCAATATTATCTCATCTTGCTTCCAGGTTTCTTGAAGTCCAAGAAGAAAAAAGACAAGAAGAAGAAGAAGAAAGATCAGACAGATAATGTGTCCACGTAAGCCTCTTTGCGTTGCCTTTATTTCATATTAAAAACTGGAATATCTCTAAAATTATGAACTATATGACGTAGTCTGAAACATGTCAGACATTTGGCATTTCAACATACGCAAATTAAGCATGCATGTTTAGTGCTGCATACCTAAACCCAATTTTAGGTTCAGGTCCGGATTCAAGTCCAGCGGTTTAGGTTCAGTTCTGGACTTGTAAGTCCGGACCTAAACCCATGGCATATACAAAATTGCATGTTGGCAACCTTGCAATGTTGTCTGGGTGAAACTTTGGCCACATAACATGAAGGCCGGTACCTGACGATGCCCGATGGCAATGTTTTCTTCATTTTGCAGCAAAGATTTTGCAATCTACGGAAGGTTTTAGGTGGTTTGGAATGAAAAGGGGTATGTGAAATGGTCTTTTATGGTAATAAGTCCGGACTCGGTTCTTGACTTTTAGGTTTTTTTTTACTTGAACCTAAACATTCTTACAAGTCCGGATCCAAGTCCAGTGAACCGGTATGCAGCACTATGCATGTTGGCAGATCCTACAATACTGTGCCTAAAAGTATATGAAACCTGAAATATATTGTTCATAGCACTTCTGAATCAGTAGAATGTCCTGTTTAAGGCCATCTTTACGTATTAAGGATGACATGCTGTCTATAGCCGTCAAATCATGTTATCTTGGAAAAGATACTGTCTGCAATGGGCAAATTTCTGATGCAATATTGACCAAACCAAGGGAAAAAATGTGAAATTGATAATGAAATTCTCCATCTATCCTGTGTTGTACTTTCACCAAAAGTGACAAACTGTACACGACTTTTCTCACTCCACCCAAGTGTGAATGGGTACCTAACTTCGGTTGGGGAAAGCCGTATTGAGGTCACCTTGTGGCGCCGAATGGCAGCCGCACAGACCCTTGTGACAGTTCCACAAAAAATAATTGTGGAACAAATATGTGTTTATGTGTATTATTTGATTGTTGTAATTGTTGTGATTTGTATTATTATGTGATACCCTGCATCAATTCAGCCGTATAAAGGCTGCGACTGCACGGGTACTGTTTGGACATTAAAAACCATTTAATAATAACATCTTTCCCCAGTGGTTCACCAGACAGAGAAGATGGAGAGGTGGTAAGTCACACTACTTGATTTGATTTGATTTATTAAAATTGTAACAATACAATACACAAAGAACAATTTAAGGCAGCTGTTGCTGGTGTTGTGCCCCACACATAGAAACAAAATACAGGACAGACAATACTCATTTTCAATTGAGTTAAGTGAGGAAAGTCATCTAAAGTGCCTTTCATAAGGGCACAAGATCGGTGGCATGTCCGGACTTGAACCCGGGATCTCTTGGTTCTGAGTCGAGCACGCCCCACGACCCCACCGCTTATTTATATCTTATCATTCCTCTGCACATGGCTGCTTTTGGAAACTCTTCTATGGGTCAGTTGGAAAATCTCCAGTGTCTATTAACTGTCTGGCACCCAATGACTTATCAGAGTGCTAAAATGTTACGATATCACGGGAGTCACAAAATATTGAAATACTAGTGACTGTCTAATGTTTACTTTGCTTTTGACATTAAGAACCAATCGGATTAGACCTCTTAAAGGTTCAGAAGTGTAGACAGTAACTTGACTGCTTATTGGAGGAGTTGCATTCCCTGAATTGGTTCTTTCCATCTTGTGTTCTTTTAATTAGCATTTTGTAAGAATATGCTAGTTCTTCTTAAAAGGTATTTAAAATTATTTTATGACATAGTAGGAACCATACTGTGACAGGAAGCAATTTCTTGAAAACTATCCTACATATACGTTGATGAAGGTTAGACATCCAGGTAAACGATATTCGTAAGAAAATTCAAACTCTACTACTGGATCAGTTACGGATTTTTATTTATTTCCGGACGTTTCGAGTGACATCCATCACTCTTCTTCAGCGTCACAAATGAACAGAGAACCGATTCACTCTTATATACAAGTAACTAGAAAAACCGGTTAAACAACAAGGTCCGTAAGAAGCTTTATCATGTAAAACGGTTTTTGGTTATTGGTTGATCACATTATCGGTTGCTGAACAGGTTTTTCTTAAGTTCTAATTACCTGTATATTGAGTGAACCATTCTTTTACATGATAAAGCTTCTTACGAACCTTGTTGTTTAACCGGTTTTTCTAGTTACTTGTATATAAGAGTGAATCGGTTCTCTGTTCATTTGTGACGCTGAAGAAGAGTGATGGATGTCACTCAAAACGTCCGGAAATAAATAAAAATCCGTAACTGATCCAGTAGTAGAGTTTGAATTTTCTTACGAATATCCTACATATAGAATGTAAAACTTTAGACCTCCCCCACCTCTCAAAAGTAACAGGCTGAGCGTATCTATACTTAAGTACATTGAATGCTTTCTCTCAAGGCAGCTGCCAGTTCTGTGGAGCCTGACTCGGCTACAACTGTCTCCTCTGATCCAAACGTGAGCCGGTCAATGTAGAGCAAGTCAAGCAAAGCAGCTGAAGAAACTGTAGTGAACTTAAAGGCATATTCTAAATGTCCTCCCTTCCTTCCCAGTGACAGCTTTGTGCTAACAAATTTCAGTTTTTAAAGGCATCCAGTGCAGTTTTTAGGGCTTGGAAACCCGATTTTTCAAAGTCAATATTACTGTCACTCATGTACATACTAAGCTGAAACAACACTGTCCCAATGTATCTCAACATTCGTGGAGCAAAAGTGCCAAAAATTATGACAAAAACAGTTACTGGAAAGACATGGATTGATTTTAAGGTACCACCCAGAAAATAAAGAACTCATCTCGGGGCTAGTTTTAAATGCCTAACAAATGAAATACTGATTCAAATGTACCGGTAATGTGGGATAGTATGTGTCGATACATGTATCATACAGATTGCCTTATTCAGACTATTTCCAGTTTTGCCGCCCTGAAATTGCATTGGATGCTTGTACCATATGCTATTGCAGTGTGATGTTATAGCTACTCAAGGATTTGCTTTTCAGTCTATACTTTAAGTGATCCTTATGTACCTTTGGCTTCTTGAAAATCCTAATCTTTTCCTCCAAGTCAACAACCCTTCAAGGCTTGTACATGTAGATACAGTAGCCTCCGTAGCAGGCTTATAGAACTGGGGGTTTGGTGGTCTTTGGCTGTTTTATGATTAGCCCAGTTCTAAAAAACGGGGGTAATTTAACCAGGCCGGTTGTGTTGTTGATATGCGATCAGAAAATAGCACATAATAAAAGTTCCCAAAGACCCTGAAGACCCCCAAACCCCCAGTTTTGGCATGCTATGGGGGCTACTAGTATAGATACAGGTAGATGGACTCATGTGTTCAGTGATTGATGAAAGAAATTGGTTTTATTTATAACTAAGGCCACACCAATTTGATTTCTTGGTTAACGGATTTTTTAAGAAAAATAATGGAGCGGGCAGGCGAAAAAAAAATAAAAATAAAAACAGGCCTAGGCATCCTATTATGGCCCAAAATGGTACGATAGGAGCCATGAAGTCAACATACCATGCTGGTTTGAAATTTAAACAATGAATTTTTAACTTTTAATGATACCACTGCATTGAAAGATGGAATAACTGTAACAGCTAGGAAGAAAAGGACTGTTTTCAACTGTTCAGGGCGAAATATGAGCATTTTGCACTTGATTCTGAATTTTTATTTTTATTTGCAAATCAGAAAAAATGAAGCGGGGGAATCCGTTAACCAAGAAATTAAATTGGTGTGGCCTAAAGTCTTTATTGTGTGTTAATCAGTAGTATCGTTGAAACAATTTACAGTATAACTTTTTTTCCCTCACCAGGTTCCACCCGATGTGCTGGTTGATGATGAAGGTTACAGAATCAAACCTTCAGAAGAGCCACAAAATGATATCCTCCAAGACGGTCTGCATGCCCTTTTTCGTTAACCGCTATGGGCTATTTTAATTCACCGTTAATCGTTGCCGGCCCGCTCTAATTCAACGTTAAGCGTTATCGGTATATTCATCGTGAAGCGTTATTGGTCGTTTTAATTCAACGTAAAACGTTATTTGTCATCCTAAATTCAGCGTTAAGCGTTAAAGAATAATTCTTCGTTACGCCTAATTTTGCCTTTCACAGTGCTGGAAAATGCGTCATTGAAGGTTTGAAAATCCAAAATTTCCCGGGGGAGAATGCCCACGGACCCCCCTACATTGCTCGCGCCTTTGGCGCCCGACTCGCTTGATATCTTGAGTAATAATATCAAAGCATCAGAAAGACCGCGTAGCGACAAACACTCTCAACACCATAATTTGCCTCTCAAAATGTGGGAAATTGCGTTTTCAAAGGCTTAAAAATCCTAAATTTCCCGGGAGAGCATCCCCCAGACCCCCTTTGGCGCTCCTCTCTCAAAATCCATCGGTAAGACTGGGCGGACGGGCAAAGGTCAAGCTGGGTAGAGCCCTGGCCGACTCGAACTCCCCTTTATTTGTGGACGCACTCCGGGACCAGGGCAGGTGGGAAACACGGGGAACACATACCTTTAATGCGTGCTTCATTACATGTAAGTTATACGTAATTTTGTCAGTGATCAGCTTTTCTTACAAAGCGAGGATACCAAGTCCAGTGCAGCTCAAAAAAAAAAGCCTATCAATTTACCGTTAAGCGTTGCCGACCGTCCTGAATTTACCGTTAAGCGTTATCGGCCCTGCTGAATTTACCGTTAACCGTTGCCAGGACCCCCCCATGCAGACCCTCCTTCAACGCAAGTCATCGTGGCTAGACAACTGGCTTCTAGCCTACTCCTTATAACATTACATGTTATTGTCAGGTGTTCTAACTACATGTAATTATGAGATGCGTGAATAGTGCCATCAGGTTGGTAAGACACCGAGTAAAGAGACTCTTTTTATACAACCAAGTCTTTTATTCAGCCGACGTTTCGGTGACCGTCTGTCACCTTCCTCAGGGCAATTCTGACTGGTTCACATTGCATTGCTGCACAGGTGTCGCTGCTGTAGATGCTTTCCCAAATGCACAATATTAGCATACATGTAACATACGTGATTGGATTACAGGGAAATTTCGTTCACCAAATTGTCAGCTGAATTAAAGACTTGGTTGTGTAAAAAGAGTCTCTTTACTTAATTATCAGATGGTTTCAAGTAAGCTGAAAGAATAATTAAAGTTGAATCACAAAAAGTCATAGGATTTTTTTTTCAAGGCCGTCTAAAATTTCAGAATATGAACATTTACATATTAGTCCTGAAAAGATATCATATACTAGTAGAAATGTTGACCAATGACCCAGATGCCATCCTTCCTTAACTGATCTTCACCAAAGAGAAAGGACAGCTTCTATTCCAGCAGTGATGAAGACTCGGATGAGGAGGGGGTTGGTGGGAAATTCCGCGTGGAAATCAAACCTCCTGTCGTGAAGGACAGACACGCCACGGCCGGAGACTCGCTGGAAGAGCTCAAAGCAACCGTAGGAGGGTTAACTCTCTCACCCTCCCCAGCAGTGAGTATTATATAATACCTATAAGACCCCAATCCAAAATTAAGCAATCTGATTGGCTGTCAAGTTGTCCTTGTCATGCTAGAAACAGCCAATGAAAAGAGAGGATTTGGAGTCACATTCAATCTGATTGGCTGTCAAGTTGACCTTGTCATACTAGAATGAAAAGAGAGGATTTGGAATCACATTCAATCTGATTGGCTGTCAAGTTGACCTTGTCATGATAGAAACAGCCAATGAAAAGAGAGGATTTGGAGTCACATTCAATCTGATTGACTGTCAAGTTGACCCTGTCATGCTAGAAACAGCCGAAGAAAAGAGAGGATTTGGAGTCTTACAATGTATGTAAACCTTGTTTTGCAGGCTGATTTTAAGATGCATCCTATATCATAGTATATGAATGTTACATATTAATTATTTGATACATTTATTTTGTTTATGTAAAGTTTAAGGTAAACTTTCAAATTAGAAGCTAGTCTTTGGGTGTCATAATGATAATTATTGCCTGTAAAAGTTGCACTGTGAATAGCACCATTACAGACATAGTGCTGCATACCGGTTCACTGGACTTGGATCCGGACTTGTAAGAATGTTTAGGTTCAAGTCCAAAAAAACCTAAAAGTCAAGAACCGAGTCCGGACTTATTACCATAAAAGACCATTATACATACCCCTTTTCTTTCCAAACCACCTAAAACCTTCCGTAGATTGCAAAATCTTTGCTGCAAAACGAAGAAAACATTGCCATCGGGCATCGTCAAGTACCGGCCTCCATGTTATGTGGCCAAAGTTTCACCCAGACAACATTGCAAGGTTGCCAACATGCAATTTTGTATATGCCATGGGTTTAGGTCCGGACTTACAAGTCCGGAACTGAACCTAAACCTCTGGACTTGAATCCGGACCTGAACCTAAAATTGGGTTTAGGTATGCAGCACTATACAGACATAGTATATAATTCTGACAGTTTGCCTTGTTTTTCCTTGTTTGATGAGTTTTGTTTCTGTGACCGCAGGCTTCTGTGAAGCTGCGTAAGGAAGCCAGTAAGTACATGACCCAGTCTCCTGTGTTAGGGACTGTGACATGCTGGCTGTCATTCATCAATCAACTCCTCCAAATCACCAACAAATGATTTTTTTAGTTTCCAGCCTTGCAACATTGAGAAAAAAACTTTTAAAAAAACTTTGCCATATCCTCAACATCACCAACAAATGATTTTTCAGTATCCAGCCTTGCAACACTAAGAAAATCTTTTAATTTTGCACCAGAATGATGATAACTTTACTCTTCTTCGGAAAATGTGATCTGTACCCCTTCAAATTTTGCAAATTCATCTGCTTAGGCCACACCAATTTAATTTGCTGGTTCTCGGATTTGCCTGCTTCATTTTTTTCTGATTTGCAAAAAAGAAAAAAAATTCAGGCTCAGAATCAACTTCAAAATGCTCATATTTCGGCCCCAACAGTTAAAGAAAGTCCCTTCTCTTCAGAGTTGTCACAGTTTTTTATCTATCAAAATGCAGTTGTTTGAATAAAAGTTTAAAATTCATTGCTTGAACCAGCCTGGTATGTTGTCTTCAGTGTCGAGTGAGTGCTAAACTGAAACTTGGTGTTTTGGGTGATTTGATGCGTTGTCTGGCAGCCAACATGGTCACAAGAAGACCTGTGTGGTAGCGAGCTGTCCCACACCTCCACACGTGACACGCCCACGCTCACGTCCGTGTCTGGTGTTCTCTCTGTCGGTAGCTAACCCTTGTCTGTATCTCTCTCCTCCCCACGCCTCGATCAGTTAATAAAGCAACGCAATCTCAAACGTAAGTATGTGTGTGTGCTAACCTGGGCCTTTCCTCATCTCTCCCTTGTCCCAGCATGGACCGTTCACTCCAACAAGCCACTTCTTACCGGGAAATTCCAATCTAACAGCCTCCAGTTTAATTCTGGACTTCCAATTTAACTCTAGACCAATTCCCATCCCTCAGTATACTTACATCTAGATGGGAAAATATTGTAAACTACATGTACATGTATAAGTAAAAATAATGTAAGAAATATATAGATTTAGCCATTGATTTCTGGCTCCAGTTTAAATTCTGCTTCCAGTTCCAGAATTCTGCAGAATTGGGTTAATCCCCAAGGAGACCTTAATATAATGTCACTTTTACCTATAGTTTACGATATTAGCCCATCTAGATGTAAGGTTGCTGAGGTATGGGATTTAGTCCGGAATTAAACTGGAAGTCCAGAAATAAACTGGAGGCTGTTACTAGTATCTTTAATTCACAATTTTTCCCTCCGCCAAGTATGATACCTGTACATTTGTGGTCATAATATTTCAAACACTTTTTGCCTTTGAGGATTATGCAAAGTAATATCTGTACATTGTTTAACAGCTGTGTCAATCTTGCTAGCATTTGATGGCGTAGCTTTTAGTAATCCCACTTCAGAACCGGAGGTTCAGGCGGGAATTCTGGCCTTAACTTGGCAAAGTCTTGGATGCAACTTAGCCTTTAACCGTCTACCTGCTTGAGTAGCATTTTGGCACCAAATTCAAATTTGTTACCAGGGCTAGGCAGCAATGAGAAGGTTAACACAGACTGTCTTATTGGTCTCTAGGCTACAGCTTTTTTGGAAAAAGAGTGAATGGTCCAAACTCCCAGAAAGCTGCTTTGTACTGAGTGTGCTTTGCAGGAATGTGTGTAATATATGTGATACAAATTGCACTTAGGAAAAGTCGAGTCAACGAAATTTGGAGCGAATATCTGTAAATTTGTGCTTATTTGGACAAACTGTAGAAATTTATATCCTAAGGTGTATTCATCTTTCTTGCTAAGGTATGCAGAAAATACTAGTAGTCAGATGCCAGCACTTAAAATATGTTTCAGAATCTCTTGATCATGCTCTTGGAAAACAATTACATTATGCATGGGCATCAGATGAATAAGATTTGCTGCACAGTCACCATTTCAATAGCCTTTCGTTTGTCATTCTTTGTGCTCTTACTGTGTACCATTTCATATTCATTTTCCTTGATATTTCCTTCACTTTTAAAGCATCAACACACACACTCTTTATTACCTTGTACAGTAGTCTTCTAGTTGTACTGAATGAATGACAATACTATAATCAAATCTTTACAATACTAGCACAAATTTTTTACATTATGTTTAAAGTTTGCATGTCAATGTAGGCATGAATTTAGGACTTTTCTCGGAAATAAACTACTTACAACTTGTACTATCATGAAAGTTCATCTGTGTTGGTAGGTCCAACACAAAAAAAGTTCTCTCACCTAGAGCTTTTGACCAGTCACTCTGGTCTTCCTCAGTAGACTGACCCAGTGACACTTCACAGAAGCCACGTGACAAGCCTCACTGGGTCACTCTACTGAGGAAGACCAGAGTGACTGGTCAAAAGCTCTAGGTGAGAGAACTTCTTTGTGTTGGAACAAAAGTTTTAACTTTAAACTACATGCTTTCTAAGGCACACCCAGGCTCATATGATATCAGTTTGTTTGAAGTTCTATCCAGGGCAAATAGTGCATTGTTAATATCAACCTTAAATTTTATATACATGGAGTATTCCTACTTACAAGTGTCACCGAAATCTGCTTGTCTCATTGATTGAATGGAGGAAAGCCTGACATTGTTCCCCTGTGTTTGTAGGTAGACAACAGTTACAGAGGTCCAGATCAGAGTCCCAGAGTCAGGAAGAGTAAGTACCTATACATGTCCATAACAGAAAACACACCAGTACAGAGGCTAGGCTGAATGCATGTCCAACAACAGTAATTTTGTAACTTTAGGAATCAGGAAGTATATTTACAATCTACGTACAGTCTACAACTCTAGTCCCCAACTCATGTCTCTCCTTAGTCTCCCAGCAAAGTTACATCGATCAATCAATCAACTTTATTGCTCAACAACTGTAGCTGGTACCATGCTGGTACAATGTATGGCAAAGAAACAACAACTATGGTACATACATAAACTAATACTAAGATATAATTCTAACGAGCTAGTCCATAATGATACTAAAGCTAACCTATTGTGTTTTCTTAGGAAGAGTATTACTACATTCGGTAATTCAGGGGATATATTAGTTATTTACAATATGGTGTCGCTTTTGTAGTGATTCAGATATGAATTTTCCAACGTACACTGATATCTGAGTAGGACATGAAAGGAGCATATTAAAGATATCTGATTTTGAGTGAGGTACATTGTAGCGTAACATTAGTTTTGGAAGCTATGGATTGCATCCACTTTTGTTTGTTTTCTTCATGTGTGTTGTGCTTACACATAGTACACGTATTTAGAAAAACCCCTAGGGTTTCTAAAAAAAAACCAAATGAGGGTTTTCCTAAAAACTGTTACAAATAATTAGGATTTAAAAAAAAAACGAAATTAGAGTTTCTAAAAACTCTAAATTATCCGAAGTATCAAGGAGATAATTTTAATTTGCTGCTTGCAATGCCCCAATCTATTGCAACATTATGAATGATTGTATGCTTTCTATTGACAACAATTATCATCACCATGAAAAGCTATAATATGATATGCTTCTTCATAATAATTGATGCATACCAGTTCACTGGACTTGGATCCGGACTTGTAAGAATGTTTAGGTTCAAGTCCAAAAAAACCTAAAAGTCAAGAACCAAGTCCAGACTTATTACCATAAAAGACCATTTCACATACCCCTTTTCTTTCCAAACCACCTAAAACCTTCCGTAGATTGCAAAATCTTTGCTGCAAAATGAAGAAAACATTGCCATCGGGCATTGTCAAGTACCGACCTCCATGTTATGTGGCCAAATTTTCACCCAGACAACATTGCAAGGTTGCCAACATGTAATTTTGTATATGCCATGGGTTTAGGTCCGGACTTACAAGTCCGGAACTAAACCTAAACCTCTGGACTTGAATTCGGACCTGAACCTAAAATTGGGTTTAGGTATGCATCACTACCATTGTGCTGTAATTGTGCTGTAATTGTGCTGTAATTGTGCTGTGATTCAACCCTGCGCCGTGTGTGTGTTTATTTTTGTCTGTTACAGCGTGTTTACTTACTTCGACAGTATGAGTACGGCAGGCCTCGGCACCTCCACTCTAAACAGTAACAGTAAACCCAGCAACGACCTGCTGGGCCTGGACCTGTTCAGCTCACCGCTGGGCACTGCCCCGTCCATCTCCTCAGCCTCCTTCTCACAGTCACATTCAGGTAGGAGATAGTTGAAGAGGTTCATCAGTCACATAGAATTATCAGTTAGGCCACACCAATGTAATTTATTGGTTAACGGATTCGCCCTCTTCATTTTTTTCTGATTTGGAAATAAAAATAAAAATTCAGAATTAACTGCAAAATGCTCATATTTTGCCCTGATCAGTTGAAAACAGTCCTTTTCATCCTAGTTGTTACAGTTATTCCATCTTTCAATGCAATGGTATCATTAAAAGTTCAAAATTCATTGTTTAAATTTTGAACCAGCCTGGTGTGTTGACTTCATGGCTCAATAATTGTACCATTTTGGGCCATAATAGGATGCCTAGGCCTGTTTTAATTTTTTTTTTCACCCGCCCGCTCCATTATTTTTCTATTATAATCCGTTAACCAAAATCAGTGACAGACTCTTTTGAAACTAGTAGAAATACGTACCTCCAAATTTTCCATGTCCACTGTACATCTTGATCAAGGAGTGACCTAGTTTGGCGAGAACACGAGACTAGTTTGAGACTTGTGCGGATCTTCTGGCCTCCCCCGCCTCCTTGCGGAGTAGGGGTAGAAAGCAGTCCACATCCAGTTGGAATGTGCCGGAATGAATCGCAATGAAGATTTGGAGCTGCCAAAGTCTACCTACTGACCCTATTTTTTTCAGGACTGAAACAGGAAACACAATTTTTTTCCTAGAGAAAATATAACAGCATACTAATGTCACAGTGGTATTTTGTTACATGATTGGGATCATCTGGATCCAATCCTTAAACATTATATTTTTACAGAGACTATAAATTATAATTATATACTTACACATACATAATGTACATAGGGAAAGCATAGTACTAGTACTCGTTCAGTTGACGTGTCAAACTGTACTGTGTGTGTCTTCAACAATCAAACTCATTGTGTTTGCAAATTGAAGGTGATCATTACAGTCTTTTATGTTTCGGAAGCCCTGCTTTCAGAGATAATCTAGAGACGGGACGCAATTAATTATCAGGAAAACGCTAATAGCTTTGCATGTACACAATGTGCTAAACAAAGGACTGTCTCCTAGGGGTGTCCCTACCTGACGTGTGAAGAGACTTTGGATATAAAATGTCCATTTCCCGTTATTTCGATGGCATTTTTTAGTAAACATGTCTAGTTAATGTCTTTCCATCAGAAATTTGTTCAGCAATGTCTAAATCATGTCTAATGTCCGTTAGCCTTTTTATAGACTATAAACAGGCTAGCGGATCATTTTTAGGCTTTACTACTGACACACACAATGTTACAGCATCAGCCTCCCCGGAGCCCTGGGGCCTGCCTTCTCCGTCGTCTGAGCTCCCCCCTGCCCTGCCAGCCAAGCAGCGACAGCTCACCCCCAGTACCCTGCCCGTACGGCCATCAGCCACCCCACCCCCTGGGGCAGGAGATGCCAGCAGGTAGGGCTCGTAGAACAAGGGATGGTTTCCTTAAGGGAGGGTCACAACCCGCCGTACGTACAACTGTATGTTGTCTACAGGCAAAACGTGGGCAAATGTTTGGGAGCTGTAAGTAGTGAGTGCTGCCTCAGGGTACCTACTTGGGGAGCATGCAGACACGCCGTAGCACTTTAAGTGCATGCAAAATTTTTTCTGCCTTCAGGCTGCAGATTCACCACCTGTACGAGCCAGTACGGGCGATGCGCATGCCCTGTACGTGCCGTACGTACGCAGCACACATAAGCACAGCCTGCATACGGTGACGTGGCATTCGCAAAGAGCTCATACGCTGTAAGCTTATACAACTCTTCACTTGCGCAATGAACGATGCACACAACCGCTCACGGCGAGGCCTGGCTTGCAGACCACGTAGCACAACCGTGGGAGTGACGTGCCTTGACATACTCCCACCCTACTCTTGCCAGTCCTTCCCCACGTTTTCAGAAAAAGGTGGCGGACGTGGACTCTAAAAAAAACTATACGGACAAAAAACACATAACAGCTGGTTGTGACCCTTGCTTAGGCCATGTTGATTTGATTATATGGATGACATCCGCGCGCGCATGAATTTTCGGCCATTTCCAAAAAAAAAAAGTTTTCAACCATACTGTAAATCGTGCAAAACAGTTGCTAAATGAGCAAAAATATACCATAAGTTGCAAGGAAAACATTTAGAAACGATACCAATGTCGTAGAATGCCAAAATCAAAGGAAAAAAGACAAAAATGTAAAGAAATGAATTCGAAGAGTAGATTATTCACCATAACATATTCTGTGCCATTTGTTCAACCTTCATGACCACGTAGATTTCATAGTGAAAGCAACTCTTTTTTTTTTTGCAAAACTTTTTTTTTATTCGCACACGCGCATCAGTTTTGGGGTTCCCAGAGGATGCCATCCATATAATCAAATCAACATGGCCTTAGTGGTGATTGGGTCTTGTCTTTATTGAGATACCCTTTAGCCTTCTGGCAAGTTTTCCAAGGTTCAGATTACATGGAATAAAAAAAACATATATAACAGATTATACATTATTACATAAAACAGCATCACCTCAGGTTTGGTGCTGGTTCAAGTTTGTACAGAATCTGTTACAGTATTTTGTAATTGCAATGTTTAACAAAGGCTCAGACTGGGAAGCATTATAATTACATGTTACTTAGAGGTTAGCACCACTATGCATATATTATGTTAATGTAGAGGTTATTTGTATAATTAAGTATGACAAAGCAAGCCCATATTTCATGGAGGTATGAGATCTCGGAACTCTTGTTACATGTAGTAACTTATATTCTTTCCAGTATCTTGTAGAAGTATATGCCTCCATGATGCTACAGATGATACAAAATGTGGGTTTAAACCAATTAGAATTTAATGTTCTGTACTGTCAGATAGGTTGCCATGATACAGTATCTTTGTATGAACCTGTTTTTCTATTTCAGTGTCCTTCCAGAGCAAGAGAAGTTGTCCAGACCCCCCATGCCAGGGGCCCAGCCTGTCCTCCCCCTGCCCCCCAAAACAGCACGAGCAAAACCCATCCCCACACCCAGGCAACAGCCCAGTCCAGACGACATGGTCAGTCATTTTCTGTATCTTTTCTAACAGCAGATGTTGTATCTCAATGAGGACTAATAAAACAAACCTAAGGCCACACCAATTTAATTTGTTGGTTCTCGGATTTTGTCAGAAAAAACATGAAGCGACAGGGCGAAAAAAAATAAAATAAAAACAGGTTTAGGCATCCTATTATTGCCCCAAATGCTATGATAGGAGCCATGAAGTCAACACAAAAGGTTGTGTTAATATTTAAACAATGAATTTTGAACTTTTAATCAAACCACTGCATTGATAGATGGAAACACTGCAACAGCTAGGAAGAAAAGGACTTTCCACAACTGTTGGGGGCAAAATATGAGCATATTTGAGTTGATTCAGAACCAGAATCTTTTTTTTTTTTTGCAAATCAGAAAAAAATGAAGAGGTGAATCCAAGAACCAACAAATTAAATTGGTGTGGCCTAAGTTCTCTTTTGGCCATTCTATCACACATTGCTCCTACTGTAATGTCCTGCTTAATTCTTTCTCTCAGAATGTATGAAAAGTGGAAGTCAATGTATAAAGAAATTATCTAATATGTAAATTATATAATTTAGTTACTTTTCTTGTGTCTATTTCTTGTATATTTTTGAGGTATTGAATTTCACCTGTTGTGTGTTAATGGTTTTATGTGATGATGATGTGTCTTACGTACACAAAACCCTTAATGTACATGTTTGTTTGTTGTTTGTTTGTTTTTATTTATTTAACCAGGGGGATACATATCACCCGTGGGGCGCTTTTCAATGAGCCCTGGGCCTGGGGAAGACCCCAAACAAAAACATCAAACTCAAACTAATACAAATAATCAACAAAAGTAACTTATAAAGTTACAAAAGTTACTAAATAATACAAAAGCAAGGTAACTTAAGTAGCATACATTGCGCATGAAATCATAATACCAAAATAAGTGAAACAAAAGTGAAGCCTGACCATCATATAACATAGAACCAAGGTAGGACAAGAAAGAAATCAAGATTAAAATCAGGCTTGGAATTTGCATATCAATGATTGCCCAGTACATAAGATTGCTTGAAGGCTGCTAGGGTCCTGGCTGCTTTTAGGTGATGTGGTAGTGTGTTCCACAATACCGCCCCAGACAAAGAAAAGGCACGTCTTCTGTATTCTAGCTTAGTCATTGGCAACTGAAGACCTCCTTGCGCCCTGAGTATTACATGTATGCATAGCACTTCAGCAGAACGTCTAAGATCATATTCACGAAGACGCATGTACAATGTAACTTAACATCCCGTCTATAGTTTCCAAATGTTTTGGAAAGATGTCGTCTGCAATGGGTGAAATGCTGCTGCAACGTTGACTGAACATCCAACGAAAACCGTGAAAAATCAGGGTTTCGTGCAGGCGCAGTACGTTCTGCCGACATTCTTCTTACATTGTAGGCTGACATCAATGTTTAATCACAGATCCCAGGCCACGTCAGCCCTCCTATCCACGTCACCAGCGCGGCTCCCCTGGCTCGAGCTGAGAGCCTGTCGTCCATCTCTTCCGGAACGTTCAGCACGGCGGGGACACCCACCGCCGCGACCTCCAGAGGTCCGTCCCCTCTGCCCGCGGGAAGCGGTACGGAGACCGTCATACCGGTGGCCGCGGCCTTCAGCGAGACCGTCAACGCTTTCTTCAAGGGAACAGACCAGGACAAGTCAGTGTCTTGAGTTCGAGAGTTCGTGAGAGTTTAAGTTGAGACCTTTTCTTAAGGAAGGCCTGTATGCCCTTTTTTGTAAGGCGTAATCAGGCCTTTTCAACCTTTGTAATCCGTAGGCAGCCTCCCCAAATTATCGTAATTCGTCATCAGTACATTAGCCGTAAGGTCTAATTGTCCGTAATTATCTCTGAGAATTTAACGTAATTCGTAATCGGCAGCAAAAATTTTGCATAATTCATAATCACTACCCCCCCATGCAGGCCCTCCTTAAGGGTAATTTTTCATCTAGGAACATAATTGCAAAATTGAAATTTATACATGGACTATGAAACAAGTAAACGTTAACTCCCTCTTGATGTTATTATTGCTTTTTATTACAGTGTGTGAATTTAAAAGAAAGATGACAATGGTTAGGAATATTGAACTTTTTTTACTTTTTCTTGTAGGTATAGTAGAAACCATTCCCTAGCCGCTGACCTTAAATTAGTGGTTAATTCATGAGTTGCACATTCCCAGGATCCTTTGCGCACAGGGTAGGGAAAGGTCGCGGTAAACCACGTGACTCATCCTCGGCTCTGGTCGGAAGAAGTCGGAAGTGTTTGCGAGCGCTCGGAAATTTAAAAAATGGCTGACACCACTGCCGGCGGCGGGAGGCACGTAGTTTTTCACGGCGTTCGTACGGCAAATGACTATGACTATCGGTATGGGATAGGATAGGGTTGATTCAACATACTACGTGAAAATGTGACAAAAAGACAGACTTTTGCAATTGAATGCTCCCAGCCTACTATCGGCCAGATATCGCTTAGGGCACCTTCTTCCAACCAGAGCCGAGGATGAGTCACTTGGTTTACCGCGACCTTTCCCTACCCTGTGCGCAAAGGATCCTGGGAATGTGCAACTCGTGAATTAAGATAATGGTTGACCTTATGACCTCACTGACCTTTGACTTGTAACCTCTTGTCACAGGTGTATGGTGAAGATAACAGGTGACTTGATGATGTCATTCCCTCACGGTATCATCAGTGCCATGACAACCAACCCCACTCTGACCCCGTTGACCTTCAGAATAAAGAACAGCTCCAGACTGGAGCAGGTGCTGCCAAACAAGACTCTTATCACACTGTAAGTACATGTACAAGGTGCCCCCCTCCCCACAAAACGTCTTTTATATCAAGGCCACACCAATTTAACTTCTTGGTTAACGGGTTTTTCTAGAAAAATAATGGAGCGGGCGGGCGAAAAAAGATAAAAAATAAAAACAGGCCTAGGCATCCTATCATGGCCCAAAATGGTACGATAGGAGCCATGAAGTCAACACACCAGGCTGGTTCAAAATTTAAACAATGAATGTTGAACTTTTAATGATACCATTGCATCGAAAGATGGAATAACTGTAACAACTAGGATGAAAAGGACTGTTTTCAACTGTCCAGGGCAAAATATGAGCATTTTGCAGTTGATTCTGGATTTTTATTTTTATTTGCAAATCAGAAAAAAATTAAGCAGCAAATCCGTTAACCAAGAAATTAAATTGGTGTGGCCTAACCAAAGGAAAACACATTGTTTTGCTATCTTTCCTTTCCTTCTTCCGTTCCAAACACTGACCTCTGACCTGGCCAATGACCTGACTGGTTGACGTCTCTCACCATGGTAGCTGGTGTTGAGTTACATTATGTTGCAATTTTATAGTAGGAGGGATTTATACTCCTGTCTGACCACATATGTATGAATGTGTTTGAGTAAGAATTAACAGAGCAGACCATATGCGAAGGTAAACATTATGCATTTGCTTTGCAAATGTTACATTTCTAGTTTCTTATTTTGTCATCCTCAACTGAAGCACGTTTCTAAGTACTAGTAACTTATAGCACAATGTAGCTTTGCTACATATATTTTACTCTCCAAGCAGAGGTTTGGGTTTTGGGGGTATTTTTAGCATGTTTTTAGGCTTTTTTATCGGGGTTTCTCTTTTGGGTTTGGTGGGAAAAAAAATTCAGTGCAAAAGAGAAACCCCGATAAAAAAAAAGCCTAAAAACACGCTAAAAATACCCCCAAAACCCAAACCTCTGCTTGGAGAGTACATATATTTAGCCATGCCCACCAGGTCACCCATGCTCTTTTCGATAAGGGGGTTAGGTTCTTTTATGTGTAGAAGTTTAGTGCCATAAGCCAATTTATGACACATCCAGTGATTGCTAAGATTCAATGAAATTATCTATCAAACTATAAGGTACATGTAACATTTGCAAGGCAAATGCATAATGTTTACCTTCGCATATGGTCTGCTCTGTTACATCTAATTCTTACTCAAACATATTCATACATTATGGTCAGACAGGAGTCTAAATCCCTCCTGCTATAAAATTGCAACATGATGTAACCCAACACTAGTTACCATGGTAACAGACACAACATTGGGTCAAGTTATTGAGGTCACTGGAGAAGAAGAAGAGGAAGAAAATGAGCAAAAACAGTATGTTTTCCTTCAGTAAACATAGTAAAGACTTATTATCACATTTCTGTAACTGTGGATCAAAATGGTGTTGAGTAGTTCCAATTCCATGGAGTTTTATATTGTCTGTGACTAGTGCTGCATACCTAAACCTAATTTTAGGTTCAGGTCCAGATTCAAGTCCAGAGGTTTAGGTTCAGTTCCGGACTTGTAGGTCCGGACCTAAACCCAGGGCATATACAAAATTGCATGTTGGCAACCTCGCAATGTTGTCTGGGTGAAACTTTGGCCACATAACATGGAGGCCGGTACTTGACGATGCCCAATGGCAATGTTTTTTTCTTTTTGCAGCAAAGATTTTGCAATCTACAGAAGGTTTTAGGTGGTTTGGAAAGAAAAGGGGTATGTGAAATGGTCTTTTATGGTAATAAGTCCGGACTCGGTTCTTGACTTTTAGGTTTTTTTTGGACTTGAACCTAAACATTCTTACAAGTCAGGATCCAAGTCCAGTGAACCGGTATGCAGCACTATCTGTGACAGAATGTGTTTCATGTTGCTTCCATAGAGACCCAGCCCAAAGCCAGTTAGATGCCCAGGCGTACACCTTTAACATGCCCGCATTGCTGACGTACCTGAAACAGCAGGCAGACCAAAACATTGGGGCCAGTTACTACAACATTGGGATCATGAAGTACCAGGTGAGTTACATTTGTAAATAGTAAGAAATAAAATACTAGAGTTCAATGCATAAAAAAATGGTCAATAATATGGAGAGAGCTTAATGCATAACATGAACAAAATAGTCAATGTTAGCAGCTTTGCACACAAAGTCATTTGAAAGATTGTTTGAAATTTTGTCTGCTTTCATTGTTAAGGGCAGACTTATATTGGTGAAAATTTACCAGTAAGGCCACACCAATTTAATTTGTTGGTTCTTGGATTCGCCTCTTCATTTTTTTCTGATTTGCCAAAAAAAAAAAAATTTGATTCTGGTCCTGAATCAACTGAAAAATGCTCATGTTTTGCCCCCCCACAGTTGAGGAAAGTCCTTTTCTTCCCAGTTGTTACAGTTTTCCCATCTATCATTGCAGTGGTTTGATTAAAAGTTCAAAATTCAATGTTTGAATTTTAACCCAGCCTTTTGTGTTGACTTCATGGCTCATTTTGTAGCATTTAAGCCTATAATAGGATGCCTAGACCTGTTTTTATTTTTATTTTTTTTCGCCCTGTCGCTTCATATTTTTTCTGAAAAAATCCGAGAAACAACAAATTAAATTGGTGTGGCCTAAGTTAAAAATGAGAGCTTTTCATTATCAGTTGATGATTTCTATGGAAATGTTTGTTTTAACAACTTATAAGTTGTGTTATGTTTGTTGCATATTCTTCTGTACTTTTTAGAGCCATCTACATGTACCATTCGTATCTCCCTTACAACAGATGAAAGGAAGTGATGTTCTTTCACATGTTAACCCTTGTCCTGCTGGACTTTTTTTACACAATATTTTAAAGTAATTTGAAGTCGTAATAAGGTCACAGACCCGGGTCCCCTGACTTTTTTTGCCCTGCGGTGGCGTAGTTACTTCCGCATTCGTTGCGTTTCGCTGTGGTGTGATGCGTTGCACGAGAAACACCCCCAAATCATACATACACAGGGCACAATGTAGAAGGTACTGTATGTGCAACCCATATATATATATGGGTCCCGCAGGACAATTAAATGTAAAATAAATTTTCTTGTTCCAGATGAAAACTCCAGCAGGAATCCAGAACACGCCCCTCACACTGATCGCGTACTGGAAGTGTGAACCACAGTCCACGGAGATCAGAATAGACTACGCTTACAATGAACCAGCCTTCCCTCTAGCCACGGCACTGACCAATGTAACTGTCCACCTTCCTGTGGACGGAGGAGTGACCAATGTCCAGTCTATCCCCAACGCTACATGGTGAGCTCTTCGTCTGTCACTAGCCTTAATGTTATATACACATTAATAGTGCTGTACCGGTTTGCTGGAACTAGTTGCGGACTTGTAAAAATGTTAAGGTTCAAGTCCAAAAAAACTGAATGTCTGGAATTAGTACTGGACTTAAAAATCCTGTCACATTTTGTTCTAAGCCAGCTGAAATCTTAGATAGTCAAAAATTTACACTGCAAAATGAAGAAAGCATTTCCATTGAGCATTGTAAAGTGTTGGCCTCCGTAAATTATGTGGCCACAGTTTTGCCCAGACATGCCCGGCAAACATTACATATCTTGCTTCTGAACCCTGGTAGTGCAGTGCGGTATACAAAATTTTGCTTTAAAGATGCCCCATTTTCCATCAGGAAATGTTAACTGAGAAGTCTACTTTGTATTTTGTACAATGCCCTGGGTTCTTCTGAACCTAAACCTCTGGACTTGAATCCGGACCTGGACCTGAACATAGGTTTAGGTACACAGCACTACACTGAAGTAGCCATTTTGCTACCAACTACCTACCGGGTAATCATTACAGGTTTAGGCAGCAGGGAAAAGAAGGTTTAAGAAATAGGGGAAAATTTTCAAATAGAAAATTAAGATTATGGCTTTTGATAATGTGGTGATATTGTTGAAGAGGAAACTTAATTGAGAATTCTACATCAGCCAGAAATGTAATCAAGGATAACTTTTGTAAAATGTGTTGTGTTTGATGCAGATACTAAAATAGTATGATTTACCTTTACTAGGAATGCTGAAGCCAAAAGAGCACTGTGGAAGATACCAGAAATCTCCAAAGCATCAGAAGGGGGAGGTAGGGTGACAAAAACCTACTATTTTTCTAACTTAAAAAAGTATTCTGACCATGCACACATTTTGTACTTCTTCAGTTAGCATTAACAAAGCCAAAACTAATGTAGGATCTGTACGTAAAGAATTTGCACAATGTTACATGTGTATTGAGAACACCAACAATTTGAAAAGCACTTTCAAAATAGTGTATTCCTGTTGTTATCACCTTGATTCACAATTTCAGAATGGAATGCCACCAACCATACAAAAGTCCAGTAAATTACCTTTGCAAAGAAGGTTATGTTTTCAATGGCGTTTGTGCGTCTCTCTCTGTGCGTGTTTGTGAACACAATAACTCGAGAAGACTTAGATGGATTGTCTTGATATTTGGTGTGTTGGTAGGTCTTCATGAGACCTTGAAATGGTTAGATTTGGGGGCCCCTGGCGGCGTGTTATGGTACTGCAGCTGAACTTCCAGTTTTGATATCTTGTGATCTGGACATGTTTTGATATCTCGTGATCTGGACATATTTTGATATCTCGTGATCTGGACATATTTTGATATCTGGACATGCTGTAGTCACAAATTTTGGGTGCTGGGTAGCTCTTGGGCTCGGGAAGCAGTGATGTGAGTTTGGGTCCCCTAGCTGCTTGTTTTGTACATGTAATATGTCATTGAATCATTGTCCTCTCCTTGTGTACCAGGCATCAGCACCCTTCGAGCCAAGTTTGACCTGAGTGAGGGGCCCAGTAAACCCATGACCATGGCTGTGAAGTTTAACAGTGAAGGTACAACACTGTCAGGACTGGAGCTGGAGTTGGTGGGGGGTGCGTACAGAGCCTCTCTGGTCAAGAAGAGGTTCGCTGCAGGTTGGTGTTTGACATTTCCATCGAGTTTCATTCTTCCAATTCTTGTCAGTCATGGTGTACAATGTAGGTGCTTGTCATAATGATTAGAAGAACACACAACAGAATTCTTACCATAATTATTAAAACAGTTATTCATCTGGTCTTCTTTACCAAGCCTAGAGGGGGGGCTGTTGAAATGGTGAATTGTTATACTAGTAGTTTTAGAGTTTTCTTTGTGAAAAATCCAGCATGGTAACTCATACATTACGATACAAGGTGATTTGATGAATGGATTTTATTTTGTTTAATTGGCAAACTGTATTGTGAAGTCATGAGTAAGGTGAACTTCTTATCCTGTAGGAAAATACATGTGTGACAGCCAGTAGCAGTTCCTGACTGCAAAAAGAGACCAAGAAAGCCAACAGCAACGAAGAGAAAGGTACATGTAACATACACACCCCTGCCATGTCCTCACAGAGGTGCAACAGCCAACAGAATGATGTACACTCATGTACTCCCCCTGCCAGATTTGTACAGAACTACAGCCACGGCCAAACCATCTTCATGCACTGGTTCTCGGATTTGTTTCCTCAAGTATTTCAGAATGAAAATCAGAAAACTTTAGGCCATTTCTGTATTAGACAACTAGACGTTTTTTATAAATACTTTTCGAGAAGTATAGTGTATCATGCATTTTCATTGTAGCCCCGTTTAATTATCTACAAAAAGACATGATCAACAAAATTCATTATTGGTTTGATCTCAGGGTTTACAAGTATTCCTACAGAGAACCAAGCAATGACTTTGGTGCGGCCACATGTCTATTTGACACAGTGCAAATTTGTACATTATGTCAGTGTGTGTATGCAAACAAATTCCGTGTGAAGATAGAACATAGGAAACAGTCATTGAAAATAGATTGTTGTGCATCCAGACTGTAAGGATATTACATGTACTTGTAGGAGAAATACTGTGGAAGTTTTTAAATCTACAGGTTTTGCTTCTCAAATATGCTGGGGAGTACATGCAAAATTTCCTAAAATGTTTCTTCTTTTATGTAGGTTGTAACGATATCTTGTAAAATTTCTAGAAAATATATGATGGGAATCTTAGAAGTTAACTTCATTTTTCCACATGGCCGAATGTAGGAATATCTTTTCAGAAAGGAAAATCCATAACATTGGACAGTTTTAACTCTCTGGGAATGAAGTAATTCCATCTGACTTACATGTATTAATGATAAGAAAGAAGTCCACAACAATAATATATCATAAAACAATCATGTTTTTCTCCAAAGAGGGGTATCAGTTAGTTTGGATATCACACTTGTATCGAGACTACCGCACGTCATTCATTCGTACTAGGCATGAAAAGGAAAAGAATACGAAAACCTTGATGCACACTTTCATGTAATACATAGCCACAAGTCACTATGATTTTGATAGCAAATCACAAAATTTATAGTCAGTTTGCTTTCCTTTTGTTTTCAAAGCTTTAAACTGCATAGTCACATTGGTGTGGCTGGACATACATGTGTGATTGAGCTTGGCATTGAAAACATGTACAACCATCAGCATTATTATAATGGTAGTTAAAGATGTGGAATAATTTTTATAACTTGTACAGTAGAGCAGTAGAAAGCTATGCAATAATTCTCAAAATGTTCATTTCTTATGATTTTGTGCCAATGTAGGATTTAGGGAAAGATGAGTGAATGTCAGAAGATAGAAATGTGTAGCGGACAGAAAAGCTTTGAGGAGAAAATGGTCTTTGAGTTTGGTCATGAAAAATCATGAATACTGGAATTTCACGTGTCACATGCAGTGGAACCTGCATAAAGCGACGGTCACAACCCGCCGTACGTGCTTTTTGTCCGTACGTTTTTTGGGAGGCTACGTCTTCTACGTTTTTTCTGAAAACGTGGGGAAGGAGTGGCGTCGATGCACGTCACTCGCACGTCACTAGCACGGTTGCGCAAGGTGTATGAGAGTGTGGTCTGCACGTTACGTCTGGCCGTGAGCGGTTGCGTGCATTGTACGTTGCGCAAGTGGTAAGTGAGTTGCACGTGCTTACAACGTACGATCTCTGTGCGATTGCAACTTTACCGTAAGGAGGCCGTACTCACACGTGCTTCTTCTGCACGGCATGTACGAGGCACGCACGTCGCTCGTACTCGCACGCACGGGTGGTGAATCCGCAGACCGCACGTAGAAAAAGTTTTACATGAATTTAACGTTCTACGGCGTGTCTGTGTGCTCCCAAATCCGTAGGATTCCGTACGAAGGTGGTACTCACCACGCACGGATGCCCTACGTTTGCCCACGTTTTTGCACGTAGACAGCACGCAGAAACACGTACGGCGGGTTGTGACCGTCGCTTAAGGGTTGAATGCCACAAAAGCATGGTTTAGATTGAAGTGCTAAGGACCCAGTGAAGTTAAAGCATGTTTTGAGGACGTTTTCCTTTTTTCAACTAAAAAGATTTTAAGACTAGTTGTGGAAAATCTAATTCTTCATACAAAAAAGTGGGACTAGCTTCTTCTTTGAACATCTTAGCTAAGAAAGGAGAAACATGAGACACCTGAAGTAAAAAAAAACACACTCTTCCTGCAGAAGACTCCAAGGTGATAAACACAGGTCAAAACTTCCATTCCTTTCTAAAGTATACATTGTACACCCTGAGCACTACTCTCCAAGCAGAGGTTTGGGTTTGGGGTTGTTTTTAGCATGTTTTTAGGCTTTTTTATCAGGGTTTCTCTTTTGCACTGGATGGTTGGGTTTGGTGGAAAAAAAAGTTCAGCGCAAAAGAGAAATCCTTATAAAAAAGCCTAAAAACACGCTAAAAAAACAAAAAGAAAACCTCTGCTTGGAGAGTACCTGAGCACTGGCTTCTTTCCAGTCCAACCATCTCCACGGCTAGATCAGTGGTTTGTCAAGCTAAATGTAAACCTTCTCTTCTCTGGCTTTTTTTTGGTTCTAGACATTCGTTATCCCCATGTAATAAATTCCTTGTTAATTAACCATTGAGTTTAGGTTAATGAAATCCTGCTGGCCAGGAGGTCTATATATGGGTAGTAATCTCTACCTCATATAGTGGTATGATATACATTGTATATAGTATACCAGAATGTATTCCTAATGTTTGTGTGTAAAGCTAAAAGAAATCAAGATACGTTGTACTCTAAGCTGTGTAAGGAAGCGTAGGTGGTAGAGGTATTATTGTATACCACTTTATTTGGACAATTTTGGCCATTTCCAAATGTAGCAGTGTTTATATGTAATGTGAATTGCTGGTAGCTCAAGAGCCATTCGTAGAGTCTGTAGGTGAAAATACAGTGTTTAAGCCACACCAATTTAATTTGTTGGTTTTCTGATTTTTTCAGAAAAAAATTGAAGCGACAGGGCAAAAAAAATAATAAAACAGATCTAGGCATCCTATTATAGCCCCAAATGCAACGAAAGGAGCCATGAAGTCAGCACAAAAGGCTGGGTTAATATTTGAACAATGAATGTTGAACTTTTAATCAAACTAATTCATTAATAGATTGAAAAATGTGACAACTAGGAAGAAAAGGACATCAGCTGTTGGGGGCAAAATATATTGAGTACTTTAGAGTTGATTCAGAACCAGAATCTTTTCTTTTTTTTTGCAAATCAGAAAAAAATTAAGAGGTGAATCCGAGAACCAAGAAATTAAATTGGCGTGGCCTTAGATTTGAATATTCTTGTGATCATTGTTTGAGCCAATCAAATCTGCAAGAACATTTGATTGGCAGGTAATCATCTGTCAAAGTTTATTGTAAATGTTGACCTGTATCAAAACGAACATTGAATGACAATCTTGGTTGGCAGACTCTATACTACTAGACACTGGTTAACAAGACTTAGTGCAGAATTTAGACACAACGAAAGAATTGTGCAGATGTATTAGAAAAGCAGCTAGGTACTAGAAAATTATTGTATTTAGATTTTAACATGAGTTACATGTTGTCCATAGGATGTTTTTCTGTTGTATCTGCCATGGAAAACTACATGTACCTGCACCATTCTTTTGCACTGTTACCGGTACTTTCAAAACCCATTGTCTGAAAATACTAGTAATATGTACAGTAGATGGTACATGTATTAGGCAATACATTTGTATAGTATAGTACATGTATCCCTCAATAACACACAATCCCATAGTGACATAGGAAGACCAGTGGATACAACTTGGAAACTTGATGTGTGATAATGAAAAATTTCGTTTAAAAAATTACATACTAGTAATGCCATGTGCCAAAAATTATGGTGGCTCCAGAATACAAAAATTGAATTTATTGTCATATTTTGTTAGTCCTGTTAACTCTTTTTTTAAGAATAAATTCATCTTTGATCATTTTAAACCCCCCTGATTTAACTAACTAAATGAAGAAAACTGCATCCACTGAAATTGATGATATTTTTGCAAACTACACATGACACAGTTGCAACACAGAGGAATGTAAGAAGTATACTGATGTGAATGCATGGTACAGCCTTTTTCAACATCGGTAAATGTAACAATTAGGCCACACCAATTTAATTTCTTGGTTAACGGATTCGCCGCTTCATTATTTTCTCATTTGCAAATAAAAAAAAATTTTCAGAATCAACTGCAAAATGCTCATATTTTGCCGTGAACAGTCGAAAACAGTCCTTTTTCATACTTCTTGTTAAAGTCATTCCATCTTTCAATGCAGTGGTATCATTAAAAGTTCAAAATTCATTGTCAAAATTTTAACCAGCCTGGTGTGTTGACTTCATGGCTCCTATCGTACCATTTTGGGCCATAATAGGATGCCTAGGCCTGTTTTTATTTTTTTCGCCCGCCCGCTCCATTATTTTTCTAGAAAAATCCGTTAACCAAGAAATTAAATTGGTGTGGCCTTAGGCACATTCTGTGCAAACTGCTGGAAAAGAATTGAAGTGGGACAAACCTACATGTATCTTTGTGCAAATCTGGTTTCGTTGCTACATAATGATTGTGCATTAGGAATCCTGTAGATGCAACAATTGTAAGAGCATGGTACTGCCTCAGCACTTTTTGACATTTGTTGAATACTTTAAGTTCTGCCATCATTATAGAGTACACATCTACATTATTTCTCTATACATTGTCAAGGTTGATGTCGCCTATAGTAGGAATCATGAAGAAAATGATACCCTCTGTCCATGTCATGTATTTTTCCTCTATTAGAAGGTCCTCTCTGGATAGTTGGATGAGTATGAAGGATATCTGCTATGTTGAACTGTGTCCAACCTCAAATTACTACATTTGTACGTTCATCTTAAATGCTATTCCACCCTTCTTTCTTTCCTTAACATCTTGTACTGAATTATTGCTTCCCTTATTCGCACTACTATCAAACACTTCCTTATTACAATTTTTTTTTCTTTATGTTTTTCTTTCTCTTTTCGCTTCAAGATTTCTGTTCCTATGTGCATAGCGTCCCGACATACTACCATCTTAAAGCAGCTAGGCAGCTTGCCACATTTTATTTGCATGTGTCTAAAATATCCATTTTCCTCTGCCATGGTTGTTTTACTATGACTTCCTAAGTGGCTTTTCCTTCAAATTTGACGACTTGGTAGATTTTAACATTTTACTAACTTAATTTAGAAACAATGCTTCCAACCCCTGTGGCTCAGTGAAAGATACAATGTACATGTATGGTATAAGACTTGGTTATAGATATCTCTCAGTCTACCACAAGAGTGGAACCAAAAACTATTGTGATAGGATGTAGCAAAGTTAGACTGGTTATATTAGGATGTGCTTGTAAGAGCACTAGGTCGTGTAATTTAGCAAAATTCTATACAATGACTTGTTGAGAGATGAAGTGTTATGTAAATTATTGAGTTGATGTTTAAAACTACGTGTACACAACTGTTAATGATGTGTACACATGTACAGTAATTGATGACGAGATGTAGCATCCAATAAAACAAATTCCTGCAAAACTTTTTGTGCTGTATAAATTTTTTTTATAGCTAATGACATTGACTAAGGATACAGTGTTTATGTGAAACTATAATATTAGGTAGGTAATCATAACACTACCAAGTGATCGTATATTCGGTGGTTTATAGTAGCCTGACTAAATCTGCGCTCCTAGCGGTCGGCCCGGTATTACACCAGGGGCGGCTGGTGTAATACCGGGCCGGCCGCTAGGAGCGCAGATTTAGTCAGGCTAGTGGTTATAGCAACTGGCAAGGCTTTATCACACCTTATACACCGGTGATCACGGGTGTCATTAGCCCTTAATTAAACAATAGCAATGATTGAACTCTATGATGTTGAATGATGAAAAATTTGAAGGAAATACAAAAAAAGAAAGTTCGTTGTCGGCAGGATTCGAACCTGCGCGGGCAGAGCCCAATATTTCTAGTCTATCGCCTTAACCAGTAAATAGGCGTACCCTTACCGTGGACACTTATGTACCAGATCCAGGCTACTTCCTCCTAGCCTCATGTGCAGGCTTCCGGGTAAGTGGGAGTTTTGATACTGCGTTTTGTAGAGTTTTAACGCGTTCTTTTGATTGCCGGCCATCCTACAACCAGCCGCGAGAGAAGGTTCATGGGCCACCCGTGGAGCCTGCACAGGAGGCTAACAAATCCCGCCCCCTACACTATGATAGAATTATAGAACTTTATTGACACAACAAAAAGTACAGCGACTTTTGTAAGGTCAAAGACATGTAGATATACAGACAATTATACATGGGTACAACGAAAATATACTACGTACAGAACAATAGGTGGGTCAACTAATGCTTATACTACTTGTTCTAAGGTCTAAACATTCTTTGATATATTTACCTATTTGTACACAGTAAGGGTTATTGCCTTCTAGGATGAACTTAAATTTATCTATAGCATGAAATGTAACAAATTCTGTTGAGCAGGCGGAGAGAAGGTTGAACAGCTTTGTGCGTTTATCGTTATATAGTGTACAATCCAAAATAAAATGTTGTTCGTCTTCAATATCATTGGGACAGAATGGACAAAACCTCTGGTCGCGAGGGATTTTTTTATATCTTCCTAATTCTATATTCAATTTATGGCTAGAAATTCTCATCTTTGTAATCGATCTACGAACTTCAAAACTATGTATTTCAGAAAGGTAATTTTACATAGGCGGGAGTGAACGAGAAAGGGAAAGTGCATAACGTTATAATTTGAATAATCGTGAGACCTACCGGACTTGACGAAATGTATAATAACAGTAATCTTGTAAAAAAAAGGGGGATGCACAAAATTACAACTTTTTCTAAAAACTTTGGAGAAAAGCAAAAGAAGATTTCGTTGTCGGCAGGATTCGAACCTGCGCGGGCAGAGCCCAATAGATTTCTAGTCTATCGCCTTAACCACTCGGCCACGACAACTTGGTGACATCTTCTGATGATGGACACGATCTCGGAAGGAACCTCCGGCCTGTCTCGTAGAACAGCGAAGCGCCAGGTCTCTATCTAATCTAATCTGAACACCCCGAACAGACCTACTCTCCTAGCAGAGATTTGGGTTTCGGGTTATTTTGGGCGTGTTTTTTTTTTACTTTTTATCGAGTTTCTTTGTTCAACAAGTGGGTTGGGGAAAATTCGTGTGCAAAAAAGAAACCCCGATTAACAAAAAAAGCCTACAAACACGTCAAAAATAACCCAAACCTCTGCTTGGAGAGTAGAACAGACCATCTCCGACTTGGTTTCGCATAAATTAAAAGCTGCGTACGTCTCTGGACTGACTTAATTAACTGATTTGAGGCCACTCAGGACTATCGGGAAGGACCAATTCTCTTCTCCACAAGTTATATAGGTGTTGGAAGCGTGGCTCATCAAACACTTCCTAAGGATGGACAAGGCCCGAAGGCGGCCCCAGGATAGCCTGACTAAATCTGCGCTCCTAGCGGCCGGCCCGGAATTACACCAGGGCGGCTGGTGTAATTCCGGGCCGGCCGCTAGGAGCGCAGATTTGGTCAGGCTACAGGACTGATATATTAAAGTGAACCTTGCGTCTGTTTGGCTCTAGACACACCCTACATGTACATAGGGGCCCGCATGTCGTTTTAATTCTACGTAGAGCGCAGACGGACCGGCGCATTTTGCGTAGAGCGTATTCATCGTTTCAATTCTACGTAATGCGTTGTAGCTGCTTGGAAATTAACATAAAGCGTAATCAAGAAGATTCCCGAATTCAGCGTAATACGTAGCCAGCTCTCACAATTTAGCGTAGAGCGTTGTCGGGTATAGCGACCGACAACCAGATAGACGTAAAGAAGAAATTGTACAGAAGTTTTTAAAAAATGAAGACCTGGGTTTCAATCGCCGGATGTTTTTCTCATGATGGTGTATTATGTCCTGTGAACATGGATAATTTGAATTATAACGTCTTCCACTTCTGTCTACCTATGGTGTAAGGTAGGCCATGTTCTAATATAGGCGAGAGAGGGAAAGTGCAAAACGCGATAATTCGAATAACCAATAGATCTAGCGGGATTTTACGAAATGTCTAAAAGTAGTAAGCTTGTAAAAAGAGGATGCACAAAATTAAAACTTTTTCTAAAAACTTTGGAGAAAAGGAAAAGAAAATTTCGTTGTCGGCAGGATTCGAACCTGCGCGGGCAGAGCCCAATAGATTTCTAGTCTATCGCCTTAACCACTCGGCCACGACAACTCGATGACGTAATGTGAAGTCTGCCATCGCCTGATTGTGGAGGACAGCCGCTGTCCTATCGTTAATACCCCGCTCTATATTTCAAATACTCCGAGGTTCCCTTTAAGTTGTTACAGCCATTGGAACATTGTGCATCTACAGAATGATTTTGAAAGCGTTCGACCAGCCAGTTCAATCAATTTTATTTCAGTTTGTGATTACCTATAATCTACTTGCAATAACAAACAAGGGTAGGTGTCTAGTACCAATAAAAGTTAGATACCTATCAAATGGAAGAGCATCTTGGTCACATTACGGGACCTTGCATAGTCCTGTTTGAAGGACGATGGGTGGTCGATAACCAGTGTGCCAAAGTTCGTTTGCCTTATGTCAATATTTCCACAGGTTATTCCATCAGTTAAGAAACAAGGTGAGAGTTCATATATTTAATAGCTGACGACGTATAATGCTCGTCTGAAACTGTTTTCCTAAAATCCCAGTATAACGCGTTTTCTGGAAGATTCCAATGCATAAATCAGAACCAGCATTGGTGGTACGAAGCTTGTTTTTTTGTTCCCGTTTTAGACACGGTGCAGGGACGAATCAGCCAAGCTTGTGACATGGTACTAAAATAAATGAAGAACTTCTTGAAAAAGTCAAGAAACGCTCAAGAAATTTAACTCAAAGAAGCAAAATTCGTTATGAAATACGAAATTATGACTGAACAGGTGTATTGCTAATATATGTGAGCATAAAATTATTTCTTGACAATGGTCACTTGAACATGTCTTGGTTCACCCCCAGTATAACAATAGGAGAGGCCAAGACCCGGTAACAATGGGTAAATACAGTGTGAACGTGCTGAGATTGCAGTACGAGATTGTGGGGACGCCGTGATCACACGTACTACACACAGGCTACGGCAGTTCTAGCGTCATAACACGAGTTAGGACAGTCCAAATATAAGGTAAGCTTTGAGAGAATTCCACGTCAAGTGCGTGTAATTATGAAGCTGAAGTTAATCGGATGATCTGACGTTGTTCTACATTGCAGAAGACGGGAGTGTCATCCAATGTTGTCCTGTTTGTCGACCGATTTCTTTTCCTTTACAGTTAGTTGTGCCATCTTTAGTGATGGTCAAATGGTTCTTCGTTACTAAAACTACGGAGCTTACGATAAGCGTTCACAGCAGACTGACAGCGACATGCGACAACGGATACAAGATATCAGATAAGTTATAGATGATATGTTGTAGGCGCCATAGCAATTGCCAAAAACTGGGGGTTTTTGGGGGGGGGGGGGTCTTCATGGCCTTTGGGAGCTTTTTATATATATATGAGCTACTAGTATTTTCTGATTGCATATAGACAACATAGCCGGCCTGGTTGAATTACCCCCGTTTAGAACTGGGCTAATCAGAAAACAGCCGAAGACCACCAGACCAAACCCCCAGTTCTATAAGCCTGCTTCGGAGGCTAGATATGTTGTACCGATTCGAAGCAATATGCCTAAACTGTGCACCAAACAATTCTACCATCCTGATTTAGAACACTTGAAACAGCTTTCAAAAGCGAAGAAAGTCAGAAAAACGAATTGGTCCATCATACATTTTTTGACCTTGAGATTTTGTTTATTTTCCAACTGGTCAGCAAGCGACGAACAACCCCAGCTGTTTTCGGTATTTGTTTACAAATATTTAGTCACCATTGATTACAAATTTAGATCAGTGCATCCCTGCTGATCCCAACTTAATAGGTTGCTTTTAATACAAACGAGACTTACGCACCGTGACCGAATCCACGTCTACAGAATATTGTAAGGATATGTTCCACGCTAAATATACCCGGGCCGCGATAACGTTCGATAACGGGTTCCAGACCGGGCCGTACTTTACGGTACGGCCCGGTCCGGAACCCGTTATCGAACGCTTCCATGGCTTCCATAAAACGATTCGAACGCGTTTCGCCCTACCCGCTTGTGCCCCTTTCGAAAATTCGAATACAGAATCCGGACGTTGGAACTGATGTTGTTGCATTTGAGGGTTTAGGGGCACCAACTTTTGGCTCATATTGCATTGAAAGGCGCGTTTTCTTGGGTGGGTATGATATAAATACTAGTAAAATACAACACGGTGTATTCCGCATCGCCCTCGGTCCCGGCCCTCCTGCGCAGCCCATACACATACCATATATAGTAACTACTTACTAACGGTGACCACCGTTATATAGTAACTAATAAGCTAAGAGGCTCTCTTCACCTCCTAGGATGTGACCGTTATTAGTAACCTCACTGCTTTACTATAGAAAATAAACGGTCGGGTGTAGTCCTCGCGAGAGTTGTAAAATCCGTCGCGAGATAATGCGAGACTAAGACTTGCGGTTGCCGGCTTGGCTGAAATGGACGACAGACGGGACGGCCTGGCGATTTATATTTTCTCTTCATCTCTACTCTGACCTGGACCGATTCCTGGACCATTTATAGGCTACATATTCTGCAGGTTAGTCACTAGCTCACTAGTACTGGACTCTCAGTCCTTGTTGTTTAAGTACTAAATCCGCGTTGCGTTGAGGCACGACTGGGCTGTTTTCTCTTCTTCGCAAAAATTATAGCCAGTGAATAATAGTTTGGATATGTGGCTAGCAGCCAAAAGAAGATTTCAGTAGTCAAATATCAACTGCCTATGTAATACATTTGACTTGGTAATGGTATATACGTATACGTAGGTGTGTGTCTGTATGTGTGTTGGGGGTGGGGGGCGGCATTCAAATGTAGGCGCGCCCGGGTGATTCCATTCCAGAATGGGGTTGGGCAGCTACTCTCCAAGCAGAGGTTTGGGTTTTGGGGGTATTTCTAGCGTGTTTTTAGCCTTTTTTTATCGGGGTTTCTCTTTTGCACTGAATTTTTTTCCCACCAAAGTTTGAAAACACGCTAAAAATACCCCCAAAACCCAAACCTCTGCTTGGAGAGTATTGGGCAGCATCAAACTACTAGTAACTAGTACATGTATAATATATATGTTACACTGTAACTTGACTAGATGTAGTATTATCAAGGAGCTTGGTATCATATTACGAAGGACATTACATCATTGACCATACATGTCACTAAGACAGCATTAGTTTGATTACGGGTTACTATTTCCCTATACACATGTATCTATTAAAATAGAAAATAGAACATTTAATGTTTTTTAAATTCAAATTTTCAACCTCCTTGACATTATGGATCATAAATTTGTACATGTATTTTGTCATAAAACAGATTCATGAGCATTTTATTTCATGTTTCTTTGACCCTCATTCTGTTTATGCTAAACAGAGTTGTCACTCCCAAGTTATTAATTAAAGGGAAAGGATAAAGTCATTTCTCACCACTCATTATCATCCCCCATCAGGCATATTTTACTTCCATAACTATCCTCATCAAATTGGTACTGTGTTGTGGTGTTATCCAAAGTTATACTATTAGCCTACAAAAAGGGAAAGCAAGTTTTTTTTACTGTAATATACTAATACATTGAAACACAATTCACTGTGTATTCAAGAGTTCATCAATCAAAGCAAGAAAAAGCATTGTGAATGTTTTAAAAAAGATCTACAACCTATTATATGTATGGCACTTACCAGGCTGATGTATCAGTAACTGACCCTGATAAAGGTAGTTTTGGAGTTACTGAAATGTCATGATGTGTAAATTGATACGTACCTACATGTATTTACCATGCGCATATGTATATTTGACATATGACATATGTATATTTGTTTCTGTCAATTTTTGTATTGTATTGTAGTACGCCGAAGCAGAGGAAATGGCAGCGGGTAGGATTGAGAGTCGCAGCATGCAATACTGGGGAGCCAGAAGGAGTCCCAATGGAACCGCTTCACATGCTGATGTACAAGGAACTTAAGCTGGGCTTCTAGTAGTTTTCTTTGCCCTAGTAAGTTACATTAACTTTGAAAATTACCTGCACCAGACACATTTTACCTGTACCACTCACTGTCACCCAGAACATAGGAATTATATAGATTACACAGAAAACTGGAAATCATTGCCAGGATTTCTTCAATCAACTTAAAAGTAATACAATGTGAAAGTCAATGCAGCAAATAAAAATCCACATATGCCTACACTTTTATATAAAACTACTAGTAGTACCAGTGAGTGCAGGTTTGATGCAGGTGAATTGTGCACAGAACAGGAAATATTTGTACTGCCCTTCTATCTCGGTACCAGGTAAGGCACTGATATTTCAAATGGATTAATACTGCTACAGTTAAAATTCACTGTTCAATATAGCCTTGTATCCAGTCTCCACTCAGTCAGGCTGGGCATACATGTAAGAATGAGCATAAATGTAAAAATTTTGAATCCAGTGATAATTTTAAGAATATCCAGAAACACAAACAGTTCTCAAACAGGTGGCATTGAGATTCTTACATGTACTGCATTCTAACAGCATTGAAAACAGCTCTGATCACATTCAGATTAGAATCAAATGGGCCCGAATATTTCGAATACACTATGAAATTTTCACAATATGCACTTTGAATAACATTCTGCCTGTCATGTGAAGGGCGAAGGGGGAGGGCAGACATACAGGTACAGTGCTGGTAGCTGTAAGTAACTGTTACATAAACAGGTTTGGCAAATAATCTATAGGTTATACATGTAGCCTGGTAGCAAACTGTCATTCTAGTGGTAAATCACTTATTTTGTATAATGATTCATTATCTAAAAATTAGAATACTAGTACACTCAAGTTTTCTTGATTATCAAATGCCTTAATAAATTATGTAAAAATTAGAATACTAGTATACTAGTTTGCTAATTCTTCACACTTGTGAATTTTGTTGCTAATTCTTAGCAACTGTAAATAGACATGTACATTCTATTTTTCTCCAGGGCCATGGAGGAGTACCGGGAGGACTTCGCCTTTGAGGAAAGCATTGAAAATGAAGCTGTGTGCCAAATAAGAAAGCAGATTTATGAGAAAAGAACAAAGTCATCAAGCACTTAAGCTTGCTTCAACAAGATTTCTGCACAAGACTTGCTCTCAGGGCAGTGAGAACAGAGGATAGCAGGCACCACTGTAACTAGTCAGCTATCTTGCCCAACTGGAAAGAAGGCTATTATTTAGTTTTAAAAAAAGTGTTGATAAGATAACACATTTGACATATGTAGGCATGTCAGCTGATTTTTAGGTAAAATGACCTGACCACTTTCTGGTAATGTTGATGGTATATTGTATATACAATACACATGTACTGTTTACCTAGCATACCACAAATGATGTGTAATTTGTATAAAAGGTATTCTTGTATACTTTGATAATTAACCTTGAATTGTACATTAACCTTTCTGAAGGCAAACCTTTCTAAAGGCCTGTGTTATCTTTTATGACTAAATATAAACGGCAGCAGTTTTCATTAGTTCAAGTATCATATCCTTGCACAGAAGGTACCATGAACTTTATTGCAATTTTGTACACACTGTTTGCAATATATCAAACAATGAAATAGCAAAATACATAATGAGTATGGCTGTGCAGGTATCATTTTATCAGTCAATTTATAAACATTAAACAAATCTCCTTTACCAAAAATGTACTTATGATGTCTTTGTGTCACACACTTTATCTTCAGGATTTGTTCCTCAGCTTCATCTCAATGAATGTCCCTAGTCATCAAGCAAATTGACATATCAAGCTTTGTATGCAATTATTCCAGTACTTTTTGTCTTGAATATTGATGTACATGTATAGGTAATAGGCTTTTTAGCATATTGTAATAGAAATTTAATGAAAAAGCCTGAAGAGGCTCAGGGAGGAAACAATGGACTTGTTGCTGGCCTAGGCATTTATTGAAGGGGGGGGGGGGTAGGCGTGTGGTGCATAAAGAAGCAGTATTAAAGGGATTTTTAC